GTTCCATGTCTATATTCTCCGTTAATGTCGCAAGAGAAATATGCAGTGGCTTAATACAACGGCCCTTTTATCAGACCCAGAAGGCAAAATGTTGTATGATTAGTATTTACGATGCCTCAATGTCTTCCATCTCCTTCAAGCAAATCAATTTAGGCAAAATAGGGGCAAGTATATAGGAGCTTAAAAGTGGTCTGATTACAACTTCCTTCATACGCAACTTATGAAAGTCATCCAGGTGAATGCGGACATTATTGTTAAAGAAAGCTTAAAACAAAGTAAATGGAGGAAGAGAAATACTCCTACCAAACTTTTTACTAAATAATATTTGCTTGATCATATACGTAACTGGAGCTCCATTACTATCTGAAGTCCTGGTTGGTCTACCCCATAAAACGATGCAAAGTACGACTGTCACCATTTGACAAATATTCTTCGTCCCTATATGCATCCCTCCTTCTATCCATTCTGCTCCACGTAAATGCCACCTTAAAGGAACGCATGATAATTTGGTTAATGTTTTTCCCTTAATCTCCCTGTCTCTATTTTATTCATAATTTTCGTGACTACCCAAACTCCCTTTGGCTTCACATTTCCAAAACTAATTTCTTGTGGAGCTCAACACAACTGCATGAAATCCATTTGTACAACATAATGGAATTTGCACTCGAATGCTTTTCTGCCTAACAAGCAGCCAGTAATTTCTCATTCATTCAAAATCCTAGCTGGATTCCTACATTTCAAATTCAGTTCAAATGTTTGCCTATTTTGATTATGTCAGTTAGGCAATCTAGACTGCGCCGTAGAAAATTTAACAAGTTATTAAACTGGTTATGACTGTGTCAAACGATGATGTTGCAGTTAAATTCCATGTTTATTTATACTCAGCATTTAGGCAATGAGCATCATCCTCCCCACGAGGGAGAAAATTCATTCCAAATATGCATATTCCCAATCACTGTAGCCTGTTCATAACAATAACAATAACAATATTAGTCCACTTTACGTCCTAGGTGTGCCATTTGTAGTGTTTTGCAAAAGATGGCTACGAAAATTCTGCATCATGCGGTCCCCTTCTACAATACTGCTGTTTGATATCATTAAAAACTTAG